GTATTGTTTACTAAGCGACCTTGGAAAGCCGTCTCTATCCCACATTGGTTAGCATCAAGCGTGCAGCACCGTCAAAGTGCTTGAAGCAATGGTAATACAAAGATAGATCAGGCCCATCCTCTCATCGAAATGCTCACAACACATCCGGAACGCACATCCTTTTTCTTCCCCCACAAAAATGAAATATCGGCGTAGTTTCAGCGTCCGTGCTGATGTTTTTAACGCGCCTACGACAGACTTCCAATTTAAAGGGCGCCGCTTTGGGTTACGGTACCGTGGCGGTAATACTGAAGTTAGCTTCTTGTATCCCCAATCCCGCTACACTATCTGGTGTTCTTCTCAAAATTCTCCAGCTTTCCCCAAGAAAAAAGACGCCGTTGAGATCGGCGGGTGGGAGAGGGGGTGTAATGCAAGGGAAGAACGAGAAAAGTCTCAACAACCAGGGACCTTTTCACGAAATCGACACACCAGAGACGAATAATAACGTTAGGGATCCTCCACGCACGACTTGCCTTTGCGGGCTCTGCTGCGAAGGACCTCAAGTGCAATGTGGGCGCATGGGCGGGGCCTTATCACCCATGCGAAGATCGAAGTGAGCGCGGCACCGCGCCCGCATGGTCTGGGCCACCGCGAAGGCATTTCCTAGAATTGATTACTAACAACACTTTTTGCTCCTCGATGGAAGTGGCTATTTCTTAATATTAATCAACTAACAAGAAAAACCCTTCAGTAAGTTTTTCTTTTCCTTTTTGGAAATCAGTTTTTGTTTTCAATTAATCTATTAGGTTTATTTTTTAAGACTTTTTTGCTCTGGATTTTTTTTGGATTTGCTTTCCCTTTATCGTTGTTCGTGATTTTTTCAAATGTCTGATAACAGTTGGTACTTCATGGGTGAATTTCAGTTCTACTCGCCCGGCTCATCACGATGTTGGCCTATATCGGCGCTTTCGTCGTCGTTTTGCCGACATCATTATGGCTCTATTCAAAGATTTCCTCCAAGGTTTCTGGAATTTTCCATGAATTCACTAAGTTATTTCAGTATTTTAAATGCAGTAAAACTGTATTTACTTCCAGAAACCACAAATCTTTGCCAAAGCTGATGGGTCACTCTTGCTTCGAGTAAAGAACAACGTACCGGCACTACAGAAGGTATGCCCTTATAATTTGGTTTTTGGGCGCAACTCGGCTTGGTGGGGGTACCAAATGGTGTCGACGAAGCCTTTGCCGGGTGTGTGAACTCTTGTCAATTCTTTTAACTAAAGTGGCTTACTTGTACCGTTCCGCGGCTTCACAGAGTTTACAGGTTTCACCAAAATGAGACCTCTTAGTTAACGTAAACCTGCAAAAGGAACTGGCAAAAGTGCGAAATGCCCATCCAAGCCGAACAGCGCCGTTTCAGGAGTTTTTCGTGTCTGTACTGAGCTGCTCGTAGCATTTATTATCGGTACTATTAGCTGTTTGGTATGTGGGATAGGTGATAGACTTGTCTGGGAATGAAGGGGTCTGTTCCAATAAGGCCGCGTTCACACTTGGTGTCAGCTTTTTGAGCTTACAGCCCATTTTGAGCGTCTGGGAAGGTACAGCTATCCTAGCATTTTGCGCGTACGGTTGCCGTTTTATCAGCAGTTTTTTTTTTTTTGTCTGCCAAAGCTCCAACTATGCTAGCGATATCTCTTCTTTTCTACTCACTCGAAACTCGCTGATACAAAGATGAACGCACCTACATGTGTTGCATAAGTACTGAACAGTTCATGAGATGGGAGCAAGTTATACTAACCGCACGGAGATGAGTTGTTATTGTTTTGCGGCATCTTCACCTCACCCCTCCCCCATCGCAGACACTCGTTTCTGGAAGAATCTTGGAACTCTTCCTTCAGAAAACAGTAAATCTCGGAAAACTCGTTGTGATGATAGTGATTATGGTAGGGGCGTGTTCTGACCCCTCTTAGTTTCACCAAAACGCATGCCTTACTCTATTTAAAGCCCAGACACGGCATTGCATAAAGGTTTGCCCACAGATGAGATTAATGGCCCTTTGAAGAGGCTGCGAAATCTTCTCCCCTGGGAAAATCTTGATTCAAAACTCTATTACTTAGGGAATACCGACGTTAAGGTTTAACTATCAAGACCTCGCACTTGAGCACCGTGCGCTGGGTCCGCGGCACCGATACCCTGATAGATGCTGCGCGCGCCTACGGCTCAGCACAACCGCGAACGCTTTAGCAAAGCGGTCGTATTTGCATAATCGAAGATCAGGCGCGCACCTGACGAAGCTCAAAGGAAGCAAAACAGATGTTTCAACTTGAATCGCTTTACATGACTTGCACAGTGCTCATTGTTATAATGTATACATCACCCATTCAAGAGCGAAAACCCTTTTGGTCTCCATTGTGTGTAATCTTTTTTTTCAGTATCGTTCAATTCACTTAAATGTAGAAGCTCCGTACTTCAACCAACTTGATCGCCGCACATCCAAAAAGCTGGCCCATCAGTGGTTACACCAGAAACGGGTTCCACTTATACATACCGGGAACTTATCCTACAACAACAGATCCAACTCCCTGTCGCCCGTTTCCCAGATAGTTTACCTCTTTTAGAAAGCGTTGCTATAAAGTTGCCAGTTTTGTTTCGCATCGCTGAAGATCACTGGCCTACAACTCACCAATGCCACATTCTAATAAGCATGTAATTGCAGGACCGCAAAATGAACGTGCAAAATTGATTGAATTGCTACGACATTGATGAAGTGTACAGAAGCTGTTTCCAACTGCTCTCTTGAAGAAGCCATTTCGAGCGCAGAATGCTTAAAGTTAAGGAAGCGGGTACACTTTAGAGGAAATGTCCCCATATTGGATGGGATTGAGGCCCATCGCCTAAACATGATAAGGAGACGTTTGTTCCTCCTTACTCGACTTTACCTCCAGTTCAACGCAAATTTAGTGGGAGACGCCACATCATAAACATTACTGTACAAGATTCGATGCTTTTGTGAGTATAGTGTGGTGATATTCCCATGTTGAGTTCATAGTAGTCAACTTAAGATGCTACTCGCTGGTCGCGGTGGTTGATTATGATGCTCTAGCGCCGAAACCGCGCCGCGACCGCGCGCTCGCAAAGGCCGGATGCTCAAGTGCGAGTCTGTAGTTTACCGTCACCCTAGAATTACCGCTACTCGATGGATGTGTGTTGTTGCCTGTCCGCGTTCAAAAAATGAACTTTTGCTTTACCTCCCATAGACCGTGATCTGATACCGAGACATCGTAGTAATCCAATATTCTGCCCGCGGCAGGATTCTGAGAGCCATTTTTGTCTCAAGGTTGGACTTACGTGCTTCAAACAGCAGGCGAACGTACGAAGAAGGAAAAAAGCGAAGCTTTGTGGATGAAGATTTCTTGGACTACATAACAGGTCCATAAACTGCTATGGAGTTCTCGCTTTTCTAATTTATGTTACCTCTGTTAAACAAACTATTCCCATTCGCGGAGTATTCTTTTGTGAAGGCTAATCGAAGACATTTTCAGGTCTTATCACATTACCTGGTGGTGCCCATTTTGTGATGCACAAACGAATCTAATGCGCCACTGAGTAGCTGCCCTCGTTGCCCTTTCAGGTTTTTCTTCACACAGGCCCTAGATCTTATACTGATTCTTTAGCCTTTTCGTGTTCCGCTTTCGTGTGGTGCTATATCGCTCGATGTAGCCACGGGTCCAGTGGGAGTTGGTAGATTTGCACCATAGTGAGATGATGTGTCGCAGAATACATTAGCGACAAGAAAACCTATGTATTTTATTTTTGTACCCAGAACGCGTTCCCGGCGTGCTGTGACGTCAATGTCACGTCACCTGTTTTCTAGCAGGCAAAGTTTTGGACCGCCTGCCTACGCTACATCCGCACCTATGTCGTTCGCATTCCCAGTAAAAAAGTTGTGCACCTATCGTCGGCTCTTTTGGCGAAGTTTTTGGCGCTGTTCGGCTTGGTGGGAGCATTTGGCTGATACTCTTCAAGCTGGCCATGCATCCTGTGGGGATCTGCAAATTCCTGTAAAGCCAAGCAACAGCGGGAGCTTCGTTTACTCCTGAGAAGTGTCTACAGGTCTCACAAGGTGTGGCGTGTACTTTACCAGGAACTAGCGGAAGTGGGTTTTTGAACGCAACTTATTAGGATTCAGTTCTTTATGCGGGCATTATTGCTCTATACTTTTTTTCATGCGTACTGTGGGCAACTGCCTGCAAATTAACAGGCTTTACCAGTTTCGACTTCTTTTCCCTAGAGACCATCAGCAACATTTCAGGGAAGTAATTGAATTCGCCGACGGAGGTGCTCTGGGAATTGATTGGCTCTACGCCGATGACTGCAAGGACGATGCCCCAATAGTTCTTTTCTTACCAGGAATAACAGGTACTTGGTGATTTTAGGAAATATCTCAACTTTATGTAGTAAAGCAACTGGGTAATATCGCGAAGACCGAGCAGGGCATTGCAAATGAAACTTTCTCGGATACAATATTTTTGAACGTTCCCCCTAGCGCAAGGGTGTTCGGCTTGCGGAAAAGCATCCTACTTTGTGGAATGGTTTGTTTTTGATTAAATGTGTCGACATTGAAGGGCAGAATGACTTGTGAGCACTACCAATACACCAGGAGAAGCCGAAACGTTAACTTAGCTTTATGCCCGCTGAACTACTATAGAACACTGGCACACGCTCGTTAAAAGTAAGGTCTACATAGGTGGTGGTCGGCCCAGCTACCGCAGGTGGCAAGCCTACAGCTCAGAAACGGCCGCAGCGCCCTTGCCACTCAGTTTGAACCCGCGAAACTGCAACAGTTTCAGAGATTACGGAGCGCTTTCCTTGAACTGGACAACCCTGTGTCTGTTTCGCGGCAGAAAGTTGTACGGTAAAGGGATGCACAAAGTTGCTTCAGTGGTACATCCCTTTTTCCAGTGACTCCGCCTCCAGACTCCGCCTCCAAAGTCGGCCTTCCAGCCAAAAGTAATGCTCCCGGGCAAGTATCATGGAGTGGATGCATTCAATGTCTCTTGTAGAGTCATAGGGTTCATTACTGGGAATCAGCCGACGGGAATTGTCCCAGCGCGCGGTCTTTTCGGTCTTTTACCTCTACAGTTGTTTGAGGCTAGAGGAGGCCTGACGAATGCGTTTCCAACGTTCCCTTTGGCATTTTCTCTTCATAGGTGGTCCACTTGCGAATTTTCTTCTGCAAAATCACCTTTTTACCGCGGACCGTGCCTTTAAATTGCGTTGTCTTAAACAGCGTACCAAAAAATAAATAAATTGCTTGCGCGTTGAGCTGCAGCATGAATTTCTCAACGAGCACCCACACTACTGTTTTCGACACAGCTAACCAATCAATAGTGTCGAGAAGTACTGTATAATTAATTATTATTAGATGGTATACAGGATCAACCCGAGATTGTGCGTACATATTGTATCCAGCTATTGTATCCAGCTCGAGAAATGTATACAGCGGTAAGGTGGAGGGTACGTTGATAATCCACGTGGGCTTGGAGGAGTTTCAACTACGGAATAAAATGTGAGTTCTTTACTTTGCCATTCGAAATGATCGCTACCGTTTATCAATTACTGGCTCGCTTTTACAATTCAGATTGAAAAATTTATCGGATTTCGCCTAATCGATAGATTTGGTTGAGTTATCGTGTTTTGACTAGGCCTTGTTTGGGACGAAAACGCGTGGTTCCGGCGCCAAAACACTTCGAATTAACAAATTCGCTGACACTTCCTTGCCGGCTACGGTTTTACTCTTTTCCAACACTTTAGAAATGACCCCTGCAAACGGGAAGACATCTGACACGCTGTGGTTCGGAACGGAGCCAGGGCGGCCTTTTCCCACGAAAGATGCCATCGTACGCCAGCTACAATTGGTGGGAAATCTGCCCTTGCTGCGCTTCAGGCCACGCCGTAACACGCCATATAGTTTGATATAGTTTGATGGATCATGACTGTACATGCGTTTGCGGCAATATCGTTTAGCGCCATTCGTCCCCTGTTGTTAAAGCAGACCTTTTGCCCTACTGCAGCGTTAAGCGTTTTCGCGCTAAAGTTGTTCAGCGGTCAACATGTCTGCAGAGATAAACTTGAGGCGAGCTTCACTTACTAACGAAGCTTCCAAGTTCCAAAAATCGGGGCAAATTTCAAAAAGTGACTGATAAGGGCCGTGCGCCACAGAGTGGATAATAAACCAAGGCTGCGTCCACACTTTGCGTCGGCATTTCTAGTGATTAAGAAGTTATAAATATCGCTTCTGCGTCTTTAGAGTAGTATAGCAATTCAAGCGTTCCGTGGGTGGTTTCAAATTTCTCGTGGGCAGTGACGCTGCCGCACGCACAAAAGAGTGACGCAAAGTATGAGCGCCTCCTAAGACTGATCTAGGCTGATCACTACATTCATTAGGCAAACGAGGAATTCCAAGCTATCTTTATTTATTCAGAACCTACAACTCAGTACGTCATGACGATGTTGCTG